GGATGAATTCTGAAGAACCAAAATTGTGAAGGGAGACATTGGACATTTTAATGAAAATTCTATTTTCTTTCTAGATTTATGCACTTTTATCATTAAAATTTTTCTTTTTTATAAAAAAAGGGGAAAAAAGTGACCAGTTGGTTATTTAATTTTTGTTGTCACTTATTTGTTGGCTCGTCATGTGACGAGGGGTTATTTTTAAGTCTACTAAGAACTGTACTAAATATTACAAGTAACTAAATTAAATCCTTGAATTGATTGACTGAAAAAGTTAACTAATTTAAATTGTAATAGTTTACTTTGGAGGGAATATATTATGGTTATGATTTATTGGAAATATTCATAAGCAGGATTGAAAAAAATTTTCAGAGTCTAATATTTATTTAATCACAAAATTTTCTTTTTTTCAGATTGAAATTTCCCTCCAATTTTTCTTTACATATATATATGTAACATAAAAAGCTTCAATTGATCTTTTTATGTTATTCCTTTTCTGTAAATACCTTTATTTTATTTTATTATTCTAATCAAACACTTTCTCATACTTTTAAATTCACATCCTGTCCTTAAATCTATTTTTGGCTCAAGTATGCGTTAATTAAAAGCAGGACATTTTCCTCTTTGCTCTTTGTGGGAATTGCGCGACCTATTTAATAAACCAATTACAATTACTAAGATTTCCCATATTCCCTAAAATGAAACATTTTACGAATTTACTTTGCAAGATTTTCCCTAACTTATAATCGAGAAGCACAACTTTTCGTGTCCACTTCTATAGCTGATCTCTGTCTAATAATTAATAAATAAATTTTGTACCCTCCTACCCTGCCTAAGACCTGTTTTAATCCTTCCACTCGGCAACAACGTTATAAGTAATCAGGATAAAACAGTAGGGAATGGGGTACGGTACATCAATGATATGTAATATCTTATTTGAAATTAAATCAATCGGAAGAGGGTACACTAAAATATGGAATAACTTTAAATCATTCATTAAAATCGACAGTTGGAAATTTATCTGTCGAATTCTTCTTAACTCATGTCAACATGTCATTACATCTTCCAACTCCCAACAACACCTGATTGCATCATATTAAATGGAGCCTAGTTACAAACGGAGCGAAATTGGGTTTACAGCGCTAATGACACAAATCTTTGGCTGATCTTGAACTCGTTATTTTTATCTTCACAGCTACTTCTAACTAGAGGAGAATGCTTAGCGGAGAGTTTGCAATGCTGTGAAAACTTATTGGAAATGGATGGACTACTGCACCCCGGAATGGTTTACTTAGATGTTCGACATTCCCTCCCTCCTACTCAGAACTCAAAGAATAATCTGCTTCAATTTCTCCTTCACTCTCTGTGCTAATTTATGATTCATCTTAAGGAAGAAACAAATTTTTTTCCCCTATCAACTCTCATCTTTGCTTTTGGAATTGTGTTTATGGAATTTCATTGAACTTTATCTATGATATGTTGCGGTTTTCAAAATATCTTGGACTAATTCGAACTTTTTCATGTATCCCTTGTGGTAATTTTTTTTTTTACTATTCTGTTTAACTCAAAACATTTATTTCCTTAACTTTTATTGATTAATTAAAAAAAAAAACACTCATGTAAATAAACAAAAATAATAGATTATGATTATAGTTTTAAAATTTCTTTTTCTCATAATTGATGTTTCAATTGAAATAATTTTTTTTTATACATTGATCGTATTTACTGTTGAAATTTTTTTTCCTGAAATTATTTTCATATTTATTTTTTTATACGTTGCAGTTTCCATGATTTATTGATTAGCAGAATTTATATTTTTGCTTTACTATAGTGTTTAGGGTTAAGATAAAAATCCAATTAAAAATTTTAAAAATTTTTTCTCTTCTGAATGTAACTACAATAATTATTGAAGTTAATTTTTAATATATGAATACAATTGTGATGTGGCAGAAATTATAAATTAAATCAAGAAATGCTAAAACTAAATACAAATAATTTGGAAAAAGAATAGAATACTTCTTTTTAGAATTTGAATTGAAGAACAACCAGACATTAATGCTTGAGTCCAACGTTGGTAATTAGTTCATAGCTCTGTTCTAGCTCAGTAATTTCCGTAATCAAACCATTTCTTTATTTCTGAACTTTAATTCCAACATAAAGATAGGAAAATGATCAAACACAAAATAATAGTAACCAAACACACTTAAAAATATGCTTAAAATAGAAAGGAAAATATTAGAATGCCCTAACACCCGATGTGAGAAATTAAATTACCAAATAAGATCTCTGCACAAAAATCACTTTAAAAAATATCCAAACTAAACTTTTTGAAAAATATATATATATACATTACGTCCAGAAAGAAAGAATGTAAACAAACAAAAGGTACCTTGCAAATTAACCAAACTTGCACTTCAGATTAAAAATAAGGAAAATAGCTAGGTCAATCAAATTTTAAAAACTGATTTACCTTAATACCATATTAAATTTGAAAGCTTTGTTTTAGATTTCAATTAGTGATTGTGTTAAACAGGTTGTAATGCAAAATCACCTTTTCTGATTAAAAAAGCAATTTGACCTTACACATTTTTCCAGAAATCCGGGTTAATGATTGCGATAAAAATACCAAGAAAGAAAATAAAAGTATAAAAAATATAGAAAGTAGAAAGAAAAATAAAAGAGAGAAAAGAAAAGAAATAATGTTAAAGAAGGCAAATTTTGGACACTAAAAAAAAAAAAAAATTCAGATATTTTGCTATTAAAGTGATAAATATGAAAGGTAAATAATAAATAAAGTGAAATAAAGACAATACTGAAGTCTTGGACTTCAGAATAACAATCACTGTGTCATTTTTTTTTTTTTTCAAACAAGGTAAACAATAATAGTCTAATTTCAGATTGAAATTTTTCCTGTAAAACTGTTTTTTGTATTATGTGTTTTACATTTTTAAAATAAGTTTATAAATTTTTATCATCTTGATTGAAGAGTTAACTTAAATTGTGTTATTATGAGGAATACTTGGAGAATAACTTTGTTGTGATCTTCAAACAAAAGACTTGGAGCTGAAAAAACTGTTAAGTCATAAAAACTGTTGAAAATGAAAATCTTAAATTTGCTGATAATGCTACAATTTCTAATTGTGTTACATTTTTACCAAGCGTACAAATGTGTTAATAATGCTATATTAAATGAAATAGTTTAGTATAGCTGAAATATCATGGTTAAATATCCCATAGATTACGCTTTGAGTGGTCACCATTTTGTAAAAGACAAAAATAAGAAACAAAATTCTCTGTATTTTCCCAGTTTGTAAAGAAAAAATCAAAATTTCCTGCATTTTCCCAGTTATTTTAGGTGATATTTAAATTCCTTGTATTTTTCAGGTTTTCCCGTTCTCCCTGTGGAGTGGCAACCCTGTAAGCAGCTAACTTTCTTCCAGTGAATGCTGAAGAGAAATTAGAAATTTTCAACATATATAACAGAGATAACAAAGGAATTAATGAATTGTTATAAAAATAATCCACTAATTTCGACTTAAAAAAACATAAAAGTTACTGGCAGTTTCAGAGTAGTCAACTAATCACTTGAACACTAATTAAAACAATATGCTTGCTTACATAAATAGACAAATTATTTAAATTAGAAAATAATTACTCCAAAAAATTATTTTTAAACAACTAACAAAAAGATCACAATCAATAGCACACTTTTTGTGCAAATAATGGATATGGTATTTTTATTGTTTAATCAAGTAATTTCTTACTTTAGGAATTGTTTTAATTATCCATTTTTAAATTAATTTCTAAATTCTATTCCAAAATTAGAGACAAATATCTAAAAAAAATCTTGATCAGAACACTCGGGTAATCTAAAATTTAGGTGATTTAACCTTTATATTTTTGAATCACATTTTAATAAATATAACGTTAAAATAAAAGTAAGAAATAACGCATTGTAACAAGGTTTTTGTATCTTTTGCCAATAATTTATTTCTAAAAAGAGTGGCCTCATGACCTAAAACACATAGCATAAAGCTGTAAATTTAGAATTTAAATTTAACATTTAGTTAGTTTTTTATAATACATAAAATATTTACTGTTCCAGTGTTCCTTTTACTTGAAAACATAAGATTGTGTAACAGATAGAACAGCGTCAAATACTTATTTATTTCATGATTAAATAGAAGATTAAAATATTTATTTGAAACAATAGAAGATAAAAATTATTTATTTGAAATAGCCACAATTGACTCTAAAAGTATGTAAACTTTTACACTCATTCTAATTAAATAAACATTTCTAATTTTTGTAAAAAAAAAATTTCCAAATCTATATATCTATGTCCAAATGTTTTTAAAAAAATAAAAGTTTTGAGAAAACAAAAATAAATTAACATAAAAATAATAAATCATAATAAAAATAATAAATCATAAATACATAAAAATAATTTATCATAAATCCAAAATGGCTCTTACAAAATTGAAAGATAATGAGATTTGATAAATGGCCAGTATTTAGAAATAAAACATAGATAGAATCGAGAAGAAGAAAAAAAATTAGTTAAATAGAAAAATAATAATCCTTGATAGTTAATAAATTATGGCAAAAAGAATAATAAACAATGTAAGATTAATACAGTATCAATAGAGGCTTTTTTCAAAAATTAAAATTACTGCAAAATATTAAAATTATAATAAAAATATAACATCATTCAGGGTATTTTAATTCAATAGAATATAGTTATCAAGAAACATTCATAGCACCACTGCTCAATAATAAATTTAAATATAGAATAAACTTTAAATTATAAATAAAAAATAATTATGGAGTCTATTTTGGTTTCCAAAGATCTTTTGCTCAGATAAATTTAGATTCAACCAAAAGGGTGATAGAGGAAAATGTCTACAACAACATGATTACTATGAAGATGATTACTTTTCTTTTCAAAGAGACATGGTTTCAGAAAATGAAATGTAAACTAATAAGTAAAAATGATTACTCACAAGGTAAACAATGATGATGTTGCTTCATACGAACATTACCCTCGGCACAAGAGCATTTACCACTTTCTGTATCACACATGACATCACCAGTGATATTGCTACAGTTATTATTGGTTGAGCAAGACACATCAAAGACTACAACAAAAAAAAAGTCATGATTATAAATAAGAGAATGTTACAAATTAACACTCTATAGAGTCAACAAAATAATGACACAAATTTTTTTCTATAACCGTCGTTGAACAGTCGAATCAATTTTAGGGTTGCGACTATCATTGATAAACTCCGTAGCCTTGTAATTTTGAACCCAATCCAGAAGACAATAGAATTCCTGGATGAAGTATTGGGAGAAATTTTCCTTTGTGGATGACTTTTTAGTGGAATTAACCCGTATTTGTGTTGCATGAAGAGGAAAAACCACAAAAACCTCCCTCAATTAGCCTGATGGCAAGGGGCTCTAACCTGTGATCTGTCAACCACTGTGGATATTTTACATCAGCACTGTAGTTGGTGAGAGCCAGGTACGAAATTTGGCATGCCCAGCCGTCACTGGGATTCAAACTCAGGTCACCTCATTGTGAGGCAAGTGTTCTATCCTCTGAGCTACCATGGCCCATAACATAACATTTACATAAAAAGAACGAACTTCATACAAATAAAAAGCTCTAAAAACAATTCAAATGTGGGTAGTATTTTCTTGTTATGGTACCAGCGCCAAAACAATCCCCAAGTTTAGGTTACTTAGCGGCAGTGACATGCGAAAAACTAAAAAGGCCTTATTAGAAAAGGACCAACTAAGGGGATATACCTTGTTACCACCCCCAGCTTTATAACTAAATGTTTTGACCCATTTCTAAATTGCTCCTTCGTCCTCATAAAATTCATACAAAAACATTTTAACATGTTTACAGTATTTTATCACGGAAAAATGGGATCTTGCCATATTTTAATATATTTTAAGCAGGGTTGGAGTTTTTGCCAGGACAGTGGCAAAAATCTGGTAAAAACCAGCATAAACCAAATTATCTAAATTGCTGATTAAATATTATTACAAAATACTTGAAACAAATTTAAATCAATCATAAGGAATAATAATTTTGATACATTACATGAGAAAATTATTTTTAAAATATTAATAATAAATGTAAGGGAAATAATTTTAAAAAGATTGGAAGTTTTTGACCTCTTTTCATTTTCGAATCTTTAAATAAATGTTTTTTTACAAATTGTATTTTTTTCACTTCTTCATAATAACTTTTGGTATGTATTATTTTACATTATGCCTTGAATTTTGTATTACAAGAAAAAGCATTATTCTCAGAGCAAGTTATAGCCACAATTGATGCTAGTAAATAGTGGCACAGTGTGCAAAATTCTTGTGAAATTTCCAGAGAATTTTGTGAATTAATGTCTCATTTACACTCATGTCCTCCTAGTAGTGCTATCATTGAAAGAGTGTTTTCGAATTTTTCATTTGTACATTCTAAAATTCGGATTAGGTTGACTAAAATAATGCTTCAAAACTAGTGTTCTGTTATGCTATGTTGAGACAGCACACATTGTATTGTGATGATGAATAAAGTATTGAATTTGTGCAAATTTAAAAAATTGCATTGATACTTGCATATTTTAATTAACTACACATGTTGATAGCTATTTTATGCTTTAAATTATAGTTATATTAATTTAAAATAAGCTCATTTCACTGAAAAAAAGAGACTAATCACTAATTTTCCGATAAATAATGTTTTAAACTAATAAAATGATACATAAATACATTCTAATTTAATTATGGAATAATAATTTTGTTTAAATTATATATATTTCTAGTATACTTTTCAATTTGAGGAATAATTTTGTATCAAAAATGTGTTTTTGTCCTCTCATCTTGGAAAATATAGGTTTTTGCCAGGACGGTTTTTTCAACTGCGGCAAAATCTTGCAACCCTGATTATAAGCGATTTTTGAATAGTTGGTTTCAGTAATCTACTCAGTAAATTTAGAGTATTTTGTTTAATTAATAAAGATTGATTGACACAGTTTTAACACATGAAGAATTAAAACATTGTGTGTATGAAATCAAACCAAGATTGATAATAACAAATACATAAAATTACAATTGGATGAAAATTTCAGAAATTTGGAAATATTTTAAGAATTATGCTAGAATTTTTCCTCTTGTACAATGACAGGGTTTTCAAAAAATTTCACGAAAATTAATATGAAAAAAATCTCGCTTAAATATATATTTAAAGAACAGTATCATTTTTACAGAAGTATACTTGGTATCATTTTAATACAATAACCACAAAAATGTATAGGAACTGCTATAAATACTATTAGATATAGCCAGTAACAGAATGAATAATTACCACTTGTAACTGCTAATACACTTGAATTTATAAAATTATTATATAATATAAATAAAATCAAGAGTTTATAACTGTGTCTTTCATTGAGACATTTTAGAGAGTTCGATGGCCACTTATTACTTGATGATTTCGATGTAGACATTAGGAAGTAAAACATACAAATTTCACTTCAATGCGCTTATCTTCATAAAGAAATATAATAGAGTTTCGAAATAATTTGCTGCATGACTCATAATAAGCAACAAATTAATTCATGAATTCAATTTTAATAAATACTATTTTATTTGTTTACAACCCACTGCGGAATAACCGCCATCATGTAAACAAGTGTCAAAACTTGATGCCATTTTCTTTTTTATAAAAGATATTCAAAGGTTTGAAACAAGTTGCACTGTAGCGTTTTTCAGACATGCAGAAATGTAGGCGCAAAGAGAGCTTTTATTGCATATTGCAAGAGAGTTTTTATTATATATGAGAATGTGAAGGATTCAAATTTGGAGTTGGGAATGAATATGTAATTGGTGAAATATGTTTTCTCACGAAAAATTCGCTATGGTTCTCTCGTGCATCTGCGGATGTTGTACAAGCAGTAAGAATGGCCCCTCATCATGTTTCTCCGGCTTGTATATGGTGGTGCCATCTTTGTAGCAGTGTTCCAGTTTCTTTTAGCTTTGTAGGCAGTGATGGAGTTGTGGTGGTGAAATTTTTTTGCGAGTACGCAAGCCACTACCTCCTGCGGAGAATAATCGGAGCAAAATAATCTCAGCAGTAATTAAACGGTTTTCAGGATCAATCATGTTCTAGAAAAAAAAAAAAAACATTAAAGTTTAACATTACTGACTGAAGTCGATTAAAACATTAGTAGAGTCGATTGTTGTAGTGATTCGGATCGGATAGATTATTATTAATCCAAGTATTATTAATTATACAATAACAAAAGGAAAATTAAGAAAAAATACAAGTTTTTCTAATACATTTTCAATATTTTTAAATGAAAAAAGAAAAAGGACACTTTTCGTTTTGATTGCAATGTTGTTAAAAAAGTGTTATTTAAGAGGAAGGTGGCAAATTTTTTTAGGGATACGTAAAACTTCGCATACATAGGTTCTGCGCATAACTTCGCATATAAAAGTTCTTTCTTTTATTTCTACAGTAAAAGCTAACAAGAAATAAAATGTTGGATCCTTGATGAAAAAAAAAAAAANTTTTGAAATTGTAATTGCTGTCTTCGTGTATATATCTGAAATATGTAACTGTTCAAAAGTATTTTTAATTTTGCTTTATATAGATAATGCCGAACAATTTTGCAATTGTTAAGTTTCTATTGACTGATGAGGTTGCAGTTCTGCCAGTGACCTGGTTGTCAACAAAGGGATGTGTGTAGCCTCCTTTAAAAGCGTATGAAGTAATGAAACTTGCTTAAAGCTGTTAAAAATTCAAGCCCTCGACCCCGAAACTCAAAATATTTTTTTTTCTTCACACTACTCGGTGCTCAAATCTGTAAATCAACCAAAAGAATTCTTACCATGGTTCTTGCACTGTTTCTCCAATTGTTGTCCCTTCCAGTGTCTTTTGGCTTCAAACTTATAGGACCATCATCTTCGTTTGAAAAGAGAAGCTCATACGAAATTCGAGGGGTTTTAGATTGGTATCAGAGATCACATTTTAACCCATAATGGGTCAGATTCCCCACTTACTTTAAATTAGAACACGAATTTTTTATTAAAAATTTTCTTTTATCACCCTTTTAGTTAGTATTTTCTGTATATCATTTATAAATATTCAGAAATTTCTGTGGTTACTCAAATTTTTATAACAATATAAATGACTTGGAGGCTGAATTCCTTGCTTGTTTCTCATTCATCATTGTTTTTTTTTCCTTCCTTTTTTTCTTTTCTTAAACGTCGATCTTTTCCAGTAGTATAATGAAAATTTTGCTTACAAAATATATAAGTATTGTACTTTTATGAAAGAACATTTTGTCAATTTGTTTATCGTAATAAAATGAACGATTATCAAGATTCAAAAAATTAGTATGAACATGATAAAGAAAATTCACCTAAGAAGTACAGAATATGGTACTTCCTTATAATAAATAAATAAATGAGAAATAATTTTACTCATTAGCGTGATTGAGGACATTTCAAATTAGGGATTGGTTTTTAAATCTTTTGTATTTAAATTTTCAAAACGCGCTGTCTTTTTTTACGAAAATTAACCCATACGTAATAACGACAGAAGTCCTCATAACCAATTAAGAGACCCTAAGCAATTCATTTCAGGTTACCGTTCAAACGTTCAAATTTCTCTTAAGATATTCACACTACATGTGACAGCAACAAGCAATTTCTTCCTGATTTTTTAATTTTATTCAATCAAGTCAGCAGGAGCAATTAAAATATAAATCTTGTGAAAGAGAGATTAAATTTCTTAACAATAATGCATAAATAGTCATTATTTACATCAAATAAATTCGAAAAAAGAAGTGAAATTTAGAAGAAATCTTCATTAAGTTCATAAAGGAAAATGACTCTTTTCTCATGACAAATTTCAACGCTGTAGTGACATTTTCCAGGCAATAGATCAACACACATCATATTTTTTACAACAGTAAATAATTAAAAAAATAATCGAATTAATTAATAATTATTAAATTTTTTTGTCCCATCGCACACTTTGTATATTTTTTATACATACTTTCATAGTTACAAGCTTATAAGTCTTAATCAAGGCTTTAGCATAAATCAAAATTAAAAAAAAAAAAATCTAAATAAAATATTAAATAAAATAAAAAGTTCGTGCTAAGTTCATTAACTAAAATGGCTCTGTCAGTACATCAAATTTCAAGTCTGCAGTTGCATTCTTGCGGGCTGCAGTGTGGCGCGTATGGTACTTTTTGCTACAAGATCAACAGTTAATAACTAATTATCACATATTCATTCGTAATTCCTGTACATTCTACTATACACCTTCTGTAATTTGTAATTTCTCAGTCATAGTTTCTTCGCAAGACAACAAAGTTGAGCACTCTACTTCGGCCCTTATGATTGTTTAATACATAGAGATTATATTTTTGACAACCAAGTAATTTCATCAAATGCTTTAATAAGTAAGACAATTCGATATGTAATAATTAACAATAAAATGTGGGGGAGGAGTTATCGACCATACCAACCGTCATCTATCAAAAGTTACGTCGTGATTGAATCAAGTTAGCATGTTTTATATACCAGTGAATTGATGTTTAATTTTCATAGTGGTAGTTACGCCACAAAAAAAAATAATGTCAGTTTGCTCGAGGTGTATTAAAAATGGAGTTTAATATTTAAGAACCCCACTATCTTCAATAACTTAAGATCCAGCTATGTTTAAATCCAGTCTTGCATATATAATTAATAATAAGAAAAATAAATAAACCTTTTTGATTCGGGGTTATTTCTATGTCAGTACCTGGTATTTCTATTTGATGTTTCATAATTAACGATAAAAAGAAACGTCAATTTGCTCATGGTATATTAAAAATGGAGTTGAACATAAAAGAACTACACTATCTTCAATGATTTAAGATCCCGCTAAGTTTAAATCCGGCCTTGTATATATAATTAATAATAAGAAATATAAACAAACAAATATAACGACCTGCACGCGAAGTCGAACACTTTACGGTAGAACAGTTTAACGAGGACCAATACCGCACACCCTCGGTTCCTACTCAGACTGATCCAAGTGGTCACCCAATCGCACATTGACCGCATCCAGTGATGCTTGACTACGGTGATCTACAAGTTTTAGATAAAGCTGTAGTTGTAACAGAACAAAATTATTACGTTTAAATTTTATGTAAATAAAATCGGAAACTGAAATTGAATGGAACCAAATCTGTGTTAATACAATGTCAAATTTCTGGATTTTTTATTTAAGTAATTTTTAATCGTGACGCAACAACAATCCTTGTCGTAAAGACACAAAAATAATAGCGAAGCAATCGTGAGGGTTGGTTTGCATAGCCATTTGTAATTAAAGGAAGGAAAAAAAGATCCAAAAAAATGGCAATTAAAGGATGAAAAAGAGCCACATAAAAGTAACTTTGATCCTAATAGCAATTAGCTAGTAAAATTTAATAAATTCGCTGTTCCCACCGATTCCAGAGCTGCTTTCGCAATGATTGTCAGATTACTTCTAACTTTGAGCTCACTTCGCTCGATTATTACAAACTTGTATCTTTTAGTTCAGTTTTTTTTGATTTATGATAATACTTCTTTTAAAATTAAGTTGTAAAAAAATATATTACATTGCATTCCTTAAACCTTTGATTTCCAAACATTTTTTTAAATTTACATTAATTCCAATTTTAAAATAATGACTCACAAATGAATAAAAACCAAAAGATAAGGTTTGAAAACGAGAGAAAAAAAATCATAGCTGGCCGATCGTCATTGATCAAATGTATCTCTTCTCTCGATAAGCACGAAGCTTCATTAAATATATAATAAAGTTCTAAATTATTACTTAACCCACAGAAATTGATAAGTAAACAAAACAGAGATACGTAACTTGTAGCTTAGTTTGTTTCAGCTTTATGTTGTCCACGTGAGATAAGAATTTTTGTTCAGAAATTTATAAACGTGCAAGTTTATGGATTTATGCCTACGGCCGCTCACTCGCTTGATATTTCACTTCTTAGTTCCCAATACGAAAAGGAAATAAAGATTTTCATTTGTTGCCGTGTAGGAGAAATTTATGCATGTATGTATGCGAAATAGTCGTCGAACTTACACTCAAAAGCTTTAAAAAAAAACTTTTTTTTTTAAATTTCAATTACAAGTATTTAGAAATTTTCGAAATAATAAAGATATTTGCACAAGGAAATGTTACTGAGAATGTTAACTGATATACATTGTTAGAATTAGTATATAAGTTTTAGGAAATTTGCGATTTCAATTTTATTAGTAAAAACAATAATGTATAATCTATTTATCTTAAAAAAATGAAGTATATCAAGCGCTTGCAGTTATATTATTTTTTCCACACATTTTTTGTTTTTGTTTAAGAAAAAAACTTTCACTTATAATATAGTATTCAAAAATAATATCAATTCTGGTATTACATTAAATATATCACTAATATTATCTCTTAAAATTCCCTTTTATAATTTCAAAACTTCACATTATAAGGTGGCAAATATCTGGCTGTGTTTGTGTTTTGCATCTATTTTTCTATGTATTGTTTGATTTGTATTTTAGATGATTAATCTATATCTATTATTTATGTATTGTTATACCTATTGAATTGGCAGTTACTAGTTGGCTGTATTATTTACAGGGTATCCGCGCACCTGGAAAGTCT